TTTGGGGGGCCCCTGTGGTGTATGGGGGGCCCCTGTGCTGGGGGCTGCGTGTGTGTTGGTTGGGGGCCCCCCCTGTGCTGGGCCTGCGTGTGTGTTGGGGGCCCCCCCTGTGCTGGGCCTGCGTGTGTGTTGGGGGGTTGGTTGTGCTGGGCCTGCGTGTGTTGGGGGGTTTTGGTGTTGGGCCTGCGTGGGTTGGGGGTGGTGTGTGGGGGGGGCCCCTGTGTTGGGCCTGTTGGGGTGTGTTTGGGGGCCCCCCCTTGTGGGGGTGCGGGTGTGTTGGGGGGGGAGTGTTGGTTTGGGGGCGTGTGTTGGGGGCCTTTGGGTTGTGGCGTGTTGGGGGGCCCCCCCTGTGTTGGGCCTGCGTGTGTGTTGGGGGCCCCTGTGTTGGGCCTGCGTGTGGTGTTGGGGGGCCCCTGTGTTGGGCCTGTGTTGTGTGTTGTTTGGGGGGCCCCTGTGTTGGGCCTGTGTTTTGTGTTGTTGGGGGCCCCTGTGCTTGGGCCTGTGTGTGTTGTGTGTTGGGGGCCCCTGTGCTGGGCCTGTGTGTGTTTTGTGGGGGGCCCCTGTGTTGGGCCTGTGTGTGTTGGGGGGTGTGTTGGGCCTGTGTGTGGTGGGGGGGTGTGTTGGTTTGGGGCTTGTGTTGGGGCCTGTGTGTGTGTTGGGGGCCCCTGTGTTGGGCCTGTGGGTGGTGTATTGGGGGGCCCCCCCTGTGCTGGGCCTGCGTGTGTATTGGGGGGATCTTTGATGGGAAAACCATTCCATTGTAGTCCTGGCTGGATGGTGTTTCGGGTCGTTGTCCTGCTGGAAGGGGAACCTCCGCCCCGGTCAGTCTTCTGCAGACTCTAACAGGTTTTCTTCTAAGATTGCCCTGTATTTGGCTCCATCCATCTTCCCATCAACTCTGACCAGCTTCCCTGTCCCTGATGAAGAAAAGCATCCCCACCACATGATGCTGCCCACCACCATGTTTTTCACGGTGGGGATGGTGTGTTCAGGGGGGATGGGCAGTGTTAGTTTTCCCCCCACACATAGCATTTTTTTTTTTAGGCCGTAAAGTCCCATGTTGGTCTCCTCTGACCAGAGCCCCTTCTTCCACATGTTTGCTTGCCCTCCCACATGGCTTCTCACAAACTACAAACGGGACTTCTTATGGCTTTCCTCCAACAATGGCTTCTTCTTGTCACTCTTCCATAAAGGGCAGATTTGTGGACGACTAATAACTGTCCTGAGGACAGATTCCCCCCCTGAGCTGTGATCTCTGCAGCTCCTCCTCAGTTCCCATGATCCTCTTGGCTGCTTCTCTGATGAATGCTCTCCTTGCCCGACGGTCAGTTTAGGGGGACGTCCATGTCTTGGTAGGTTGGCAGTTGTGCCGTACTCCTCCCATGTTCAGATGATGGATTGAACACAGTGCTCCGTGAGATGGGCAAAGCTCGGGAGATTTGTTTATAACCTAACCCTGCTTTATACTTCTCCACAACTTTATCCCTGACCTGTCTGGTGGATGTTTCCTTGGCCTTCATGATGCTGTTTGTTCACTAATGTTCTCTAACAAACCTCTGAGGGCTTCACAGAACAGCTGGATTTATATACTGAGATCACATGACACACAGGGGGACTCTATGTATAATTAGGGGACTTCTGAAGGCAATTGGTACCACTAGATTTTTTGCGAGTTAGGGATATCAGAGTAAAGGGGGGAATACAAATGTCCCCCACACACTTTTCACAGATTTATTGGTCACAAATGTTGGAAACCATTTCTCATCTTCCTTCCACTTCACAATTATGTGACACTTTGTGTCGGTCCCATCACATCCAATCCCGAGAAATACATTGTAACATGACAACATGGGGGACATTTCAGGGGGGGAGGGGGGGATACATTGTAACATGACAACATGGGGACATTCAGGGGGAGGGGGGGGGATACATTGTAACATGACAACATGGGGGACATTTCAGGGGGGGGGGGGGGTAACATACAACATGGGGGACATTTCAGGGGGGGGATACATTGTAACATGACAACAACATTTCAGGGGGGGAGGGGGATACATTGTAACATGGGACAACATGACATTTCAGGGGGGGGGGGGGGATACATTGTAACATGACAACATGGGGGACACTTGGGGGTAACATACACATTTCAGGGGGGGAGGACAACATGGGGGGGGGGGAGGGGTAATACATGAACATGACAACATGGGGGACATTTCAGGGGGGGAATACATTCAGGGGGGGGGGGGAATACATTGTAACATGACAACATGGGGGACATTTCAGGGGGGAGGGGGGGATACATTGTAGCATGACAGGCAAGTCGGCATGTTACATGACAACATGGGGGACATTTCAGGGGGGAGGGGAATATGACAACATGACAACATGGGGGACATTTCAGGGGGGAGGGAATACATTGTAACATGACAACATGGGGGACAATTTTCAGGGGGGGGGTAACATGACAACATGGGGACATTTCAGGGGGGAGGGGGAGGTACATTGTAACATGACAACATGGGGGACATTTCAGGGGGGAGGGGGATACATTGTAACATGACAACATGGGGGACATTTCGGGGGGGGGGGGGGGAATACATTGTAACATGACAACATGGGGGAATACATTAACATTGGGGACATTTCGGGGGGGGAATACATTGTAACATGACAACATGGGGGACATTTCAGGGGGAGGGGGAATACATTGTAACATGACAACATGGGGGACATTTCGGGGGGGGGGAATACATTGTAACATGACAACATGGGGGACATTTCAGGGGGGGGGGGAATACATTGTAACATGACAACATGGGGGACATTTCAGGAGGGGGGGGGATACATTGTAACATGACAACATTTCAGGGGGGGGGGGACATTGTACATGGGGGACATTTCAGGGAGGGGTGGGGATACATTGTAACATACAACATGGGGGACATTTCAGGGGGGGGGGACATACATTGTAACATGACAACATGGGGGGACATTTCGGGGGGGGACTCGGGGGGGACTCTATCAAGGCGCTGTATACGGTCATCACTTTTGCAGCAAGCCGGTCTCAGTACCGCTCCTCTCGGTCATACGTGACACAATCGTCAGATCTGGTTGTACAATCTGTTTGTCTCGCCACACATTGCAGTCTGTTGGATCTTCGGCTCGGGCACTCAGGTGCTGTGCTGATGCTTTCTCATGTAAAGTGCTCTGGAATCGCCCAGCGCTGGGCGGTTGGTTGTGCCGGAATCAATATTAACCCCCGCTTCCCCCCGCCACCCTATAGCAGAAGTACTGCGGCAGGGCTGCGCAGAGTCCATGTAAATACACGATTTGCATTAACGGGGGAGGGGCGCACGCCGCCATAACTGCACTGCCATTGGCAGCTACAGATGTCGAGGTCACCAAGTCCCGGACAGAGATTCCCCACCCGCTGAGTACCACTGATAGGAGAGAGGTCTGTATGTACACAACACACGGGTCTCACTCCTGTCAGCGAGGACATGCTGCTGCTGCTATTGTATCTCTCTGCACAGCATGTCTCCCTAGTAACAGCACACAGTTAACCCTTTGATGGCCCCACATGTTAACCCCTTCCTGCCCAGTGCCATTAGTTCAGTGTCGGGGCTTTTATTAGCACTGATCTCTGTATTGGTGTTACTGGGGATGTCAGTGGCAGTTAGTCAGTTCCCCCCCCCCCCCCCCCCCCCCCCCCCCCCCCCCCCCCTGTCAGAATGCCCGCCGCAGTCCCGCTATAAGCCGCTGATCGCCGCCATTACTAGTATAAAATTAAACAGAACTATCCCGGTCTCTCTCCCGCCCCGCCATTTGTAGACGCTGAAACTTTCACTTAAACCGATTGACACGTATCGGGATTTATTGATTTTTATTTTTTTTTTTGAACATGGAGAATACAGTTTGGCCTAAATTTATGGCGAAATTTACATTTTACATTTTTTTTTTACATGTTTAATAGCAAATAGTCAAAAAAAATATATATTTTTTTTTTCTCAATTGTCGGTCTTTTTTTTTTTTTTTTTTTTATTTTTTTTTTTATTATTATAGAGCAAAAAAATGAAACCTGCAGAGGTGATCAAATACCACCAAAAAAAGCTTAATTTATGAGGAAAAAAAAACAAATTTCATCTGGGTGCAGCGTTGCATGACCGCGCAATTGTCAGTTAAAGTAACGCAGTGTCGTATCGCAAAAGATGGCACGGTCAGGATAGGGGGGAGAATTCTCTGGGGGGGGGGGGGATCCTCTGAAGGGCGAGGGGGGGGGGGATCCTCTGGAAGGGCAAGGAAGGGGGGGGGGGATCCTCTGGAGGGCGAGGAAGGGGGGGGGGGGGATCCTCTGGAGGGCGAGGAAGGGGGGGGGGAGGGCGAGGAAGGGGGGGGGGATCCTCTGGAGGGCGAGGAAGGGGGGATCCTCTGGGGGCGAGGAAGGGGGGGGTCTGGGGGAGAGGGGGGGGGGGGATCCTCTGAAGGGAGGAAGGGGGGGGATCCTCTGGAGGGCGAGGAATGTGGGGGGATCCTCTGGAGGGCGAGAAGGGGGGGATCCTCTGGAGGGCGAGGAAGGGGGGGGATCCTCTGGAGGGCGAGGAAGGTGGGGGATCCTCTGGAGGGCGAGGAAAGAAGGGGGGGATCCTCTGGAGGGCGAGGAAGGGGGGGGATCCTCTGGAAGGCGAGGAAAGGGGGGGGGATCCTCTGGAGGTCGAAGGTGGGGAAGAAGGAAGGGGGGGATCCTCTGGAGGGCAAGGAGGGGGGGGGGATCCTCTGGAGGGCGAGGAGGGGAGGGGGATCCTCTGGAGGGCAAGGAAGAGGGGGGGGATCCTCTGGAGGGCGAGGAAGAGGGGGATCCTCTGCGAGGAGGGCGAGGGAGGAAGGGGGGGGATCCTCTGAAGGGGGGCGAGGAGTGGGGATCCTCTGAAGGAGGGGGGGATCCCCTGAAGGGCGAGGGGTTAATGAACTGTTTGTTTTTCCTCAGGGAATAAGTCGCCATGGCCCCCAGCAGGAATGGAATGATCCTGAAGCCGCACTTCCACAAGGACTGGCAGAGACGAGTGGCCACTTGGTTTAACCAGCCCGCCAGGAAGATCCGCAGGTCAGTCGTGTTTTTCTCTCGGAAAGTCGATCTTCTAAGTCTACAGCCGGTGATGACAATGTCTCCGGAATCTCTGCTGCTCTGTGATGATTCCATATTTGAACCCTTTTCTATCTGATGGCTGTAGGAAGTAATATAATGTGTTGTGGGGGGGAGGGGGGCGCGTTCTCCCAGCACATTACAGCAGTGAATGGGAGAAAATTTGTCTTTAGAGAACAGGACGATTCTATGTGGTTGGTTGTATTTGTGGTCTGATTTGTACTCCCCCCCCCACACACACAGGCGAAAGACACGTCAGGCCAAGGCACGACAGATCGCCCCCAGACCTGTGGCGGGACCCCTCAGGCCGGTGGTGAGATGTCCAACCGTCAGATATCACACGAAGAATCGAGCTGGAAGAGGCTTCAGCTTGGAGGAGCTTAAGGTGAGCCTACTAGAGAACCAAACTGTGATTGGTGTTGGCGGGACATGACTTTTCCTTCGTCTGCATTCACACCGCGCGTGTTGTGGTCCAGAATAACTTGTTCCCCTACGCCAGCCGTACGCAAAGGTGCCGCCACTGGGTGGGCGGGCTTTAATGCCAAGTGGCTCCATTTGTTCACCGACGGGGAACGACTTTTTCTGTGCTGACAACACCCAACCACCACAGGAACGAAGGTGTCACAGGAAGATCCTGATGCATCCTTGTGTTCAGGAGCTTCTGATCATGTGACCACTGACAGGATCTGAAAGCTCTCCTCCGCCTAGCAGCATTTAGATCCTCTTAAAGGGCGGCGGGAGACGGCGGCAAGGGATCAATACATGTGTGAAGGTTATCGCTCATTTGTGCGCGTAATGTTGGGGGGGGGGGGGGGGGGGGGATTAATTCCCAATGTGACTCCATCACACATCCATACAGTAACCACCTGACCATTACGGCACCGCGACACATGAACACGCGGCCGGCACATGACTGGGTTTTGTCCCCTCCCCCCCCCACCCCCCCCCATGCGCACACATTGCGGTACCATCTTGTTTCTCATGGCTCCTGAATGCCCATCGAGCTCCGGATGTGGTGAATCCTCGTCGCGTCGGTGTGAACGCCCTTTTACTAAATGCAAACATTTTCGATTAAAGTTATACTAGCCTGCTGTGTGCAATGTGGGGCCCGAACTTCATCATCTAGGGTCCCCCACCAGATGATTTGCTCCTTCTCTGTGCCCCCATGGCAAAGCTGCTTCCTATGGTGGTCAGATGTGCGGCACGCCCTCCATAGATGCTCGCAGCGTACTTTGACCCCGCCCCCCACTCTGCGCACAGGTTTGACAGCAAAAGGAGCCAGTGGGCGGAGATAGGGAGGGCCGGGGATAGGGAATGCGGGGTCTGGGGAGGGCGGGGATAGGGAATGGGGTCGGGGGGGCGGGGGAGGGCGGGATAGGGAAATGCGGGGTCTGGGGAGGGCGTGGAATAGGGAATGCGGCGGGGTCTTGGGGAGGGCGGTGGATTAGGGAATGCGGGTGGATCTGGGAGGGCGGGGATATGGGAATGCGGCGGTCTGGTGGAGGGCGGGATAGGGAATGCGGGGTCCTGGGGAGGGCGCGGGATAAGGGAATGCGGGTTCTGGGGAGGGGGGGATAGGGAATGGCGGGGTCTGGGTGGGGCGGGGGATAGGGAATGCGGGGTAGGGTGAGGAATGGCGGGGTCTGGGGAGGGCGGGAAGGAATGCGGGGTTGGGGTGAGGGGCTGGGGAAATGCGGGGTCTGGGGAGGGCGGGGAGGGAGGGCGGGGAGGGCGGGGATAGGAAATGCGGAATAGGGATAATGCGGGGTTCTGGGGGAGGGGAATGCGGGGTTTCGGGAAGGCTAAATCCTCTTCCCCGGGCCCCACTGTGCGCTGTAGTCCGCTCTACGCCCGGGGCCCCGCCGCGCTCTAGCGCTTGTTATCCGATTCTCCGGCCGGGCCCCGCGTAGTGAGCGCTGTAGTCATAAATCCGCTCTCGGGGCCCGGGCCCCGCGTCGCGCACTTGTATTCCGCTCTCCCAGGGCCCCGAGCTGTGCGCTGTTATCCTCCGCTCTCCCCGCCCCCTGCGCCACGGGTGCGCTTGTAAATCCCCGCGTCGCACCGGGCCCCCGCATTCAACTATTGATTGGCCCTGATGCTTGATCATTTCCATGCCTCTCACTCCCAAGAAAGACGAAAAAAAAAAAAAAACCCTGAGCAATACACACATACCAAACTGATGCAGCATGACTGCAGTGGGGAACTCACATGATTGTCACTGTATCTAGGAGATAAGGGGGGGGGGCTACTGGAAGAAGTTGGGTTGGATCAAGGTGAAGGGATACAGGTATCAAAGGGGCCTATGTTTTTCCGTCAATGCGCAGGTGGATGTAACCCCGGTTAGGTGGCCCGCGACTCAGTTGAGGGATACGCGGGGGGGAGGGGGGCGGGGGGGGCAGGGGGGGCTTTGCCGTGGCATGCGTGGAGGCGAGAGGATCGTTGATGGATACTTGGTTGGGGGTTCAGGATACACTATTGTGTTGGGGGGGTAAACCAGTGAAATTGTGTCTTGTGTCTGGGGGGGGGGTGTCGGTGGAGGGGAGCCCAGGGGGGTGGGATTGGGAAGGGGGGTTTATATGTAAATATCAGTTGTCTTAGATGTTTTTATTGAAGTGTTCAGTCTTAGTTAAATTTTTTTGATCTAATATTTTGTCAGTAAAAAATAGTTCAGGTTGGTGGGGGGGGCATACATTGGGGAGGGTCATCAGCAGTTTGCTGGGACAGGTTTTTGAAAGGCTCCATTACTCGATTGCGAAGCGAGCCAATGACCGACGGGACTCGCGGTGAGTAACGTAGAGGAAAAATCCGCGGGTTGGAGAATTACGTTGGAGTGCCGTGATGTTGTTGCCGTGTGTTTTGCAGTTTTCTGCTGCCCGTGCGGTCTTTGTTTCAAAACTGTTTCTATCTATGATACGAGTCTCTTCTGAGGTTCCAGCCTCACTCTAAATGCAGAAGCCGCCATGTACTCAGGGGACACAGACTTTTCTGGGACTCAAGTTTTGCAGTTGCTCGGTGCACACGGGATAACTACACAGAACTTTTATGGAGTTGGAAGCATTTGCAGTTGCTCGTGTACATGGAGCCACCATTGGTGTGTCTAGTCGGGGGGGGGGGCCCCATTGCATTGGTCTTCCTCAGCCGAATGATGACATGTCTCGGGGAATCTCTGCACCTCTCTGATGATTCCCCTGAACCTGTTATTCTGATGGGCTGTCCGAACTCCTTTCAGTTTGATTTTCCATCACTTGTAATTCTAGTGTCTCACAATCCGTCTGATTCCCCTGCAGGCCGCCGCTGCATCAACAAGAAGGTCGCTCGCACCATCGGCATCTCTGTGGACCCGCGCGCGCCGCCGCAACAGGTCAACGGAAAGTCGAAGTCGGTAAGTCCCTGCAGACCAACGTTGTGCAAAGGCTGAACGGAGTATCGCTCCAAACTGATCATCTTCCCACGCATAATCCCTCCCCCCCGAAGAAGGGAGACGGCTCTCTGTAAGTGGCTTCCCCCCCCCCCTCACCCCCCTCTGTATGTTGGGGGCTCCTCCAAACCCTCCTCTGTATGTGGCTCCCCCTCCTCTGTATGTGTGCTGTACCACCCCCAACACCGCTCTGTTTTGTGGCGTTCCCCCCCCACCCCCGCCTACCCCCTGTCTGTATATGTGGCTTCCCCCCCCCCCACTCCTCATTAATGTGTATGTGGCTCTCCTTTACCCCCCCCCCCCCCCCCCCCCCCTCTGTATGTTTATGGGCTTCCCCCCCCCCCTACCCCCTCATGTAGGTGGGGCTTACCCCTCCCCGCCCCCGGGGGGGGGGGGCATCCTCCTGGCCCCCCAATCTAGTATGTGGACTTCCCCCCCCTCCTCTGTATGTGGCTTCCCCCCCACCTCTGTATGTGGGCTTCCCCCCCCCCTGTATGTGGCTTCCACCCCCCTACCCTGTATGTGGCTCCCCCCCCCCTACTCTGTATGTGCGCTCCCCCCCCCTCCTCTGTATGTGATGGCTCCCCCCCCTCCTCTGTGATGTGGCTCCCCCCCCCTTCCTCTGTATGTGGCTCCCTACTCCATGTCCCTCCTCTGTTATGATGGCTCCCCCCCTCCTCTGTGTATGTGGCTCCCCCCCCCCTCCCCATTCCCCCCCCCCCCGCCTCTGTATTGTGGGAGGTGGCTCCCCCCCCCCTCTCCCGTCTGTATGTGGCTCCCCCCCCCCTTCCGCTGTATGTGGCTCCCCCCCCCCGCCTCTTGTATGGTGGCTCCCCCCCCCTCCTCCTATGTGTATGTGGGGGGGCTCCCCCCCCCCTCTGTAGTTGTGGGGCTTTCCCACCCCCACACTCTGTATGTGGCTTCCCCCCCCTCTGTATGATGGCTTTGGTCCCCCCCCCCTCACCCTCTGTATGTGGCTGCTTCCCCCCCCTCTCTGTATGTGGCTTCCCCCCCCCTCTGTATGGTGGCTTCCCCCCCACCTCTGTATTGTGGCTTTCCCCCCCCCCCCCTCTTGTATGTGTGGCTTCACCCCCCCCCCCTTCTGTATGTGGCTTCCCCCCCCCCCCCCTCTGTAGGTGGCTCCCCCCCTCATTTCTACACCCCCCCCCACTCTGTATGTGGCTCCCCCCCCCTCCACTGTATGTGGCTCCCCTTCCCTCTGCTGTTATGTGGCTCCCCTTCCTCTGCTGTATGTGGCTCCCCTTCCTCTGCTGTATGTGGCTCCCCTTCCTCTGCTGTATGTGGCTCCCCTTCCTCTGCTGTATGTGGCTCCCCTTCCTACTGCTGTATGTGGCTCCCCTTCCTCCTGCTGTATGTGGCTCCCCTTCCTCTGCTGTATGTGGCTCCCCTTCCTCTGCTGTATGTGGCTCCCCTTCCTCTGTATGTGGCTCCCCCCTCCTCTGTATGTGGCTCCCCCCCCCCTTCCTCTGTATGTGGCTCCCCCCTCCTCTGTATGTGGGCCCCCCCCTCCTCTGTATGTGGCTCCCCCCCCCCCCTCCTCCTCTGTATGTGGCTCCCCCCCCTCCTCTGTATGTGCTCCCCCCCCTCCTCTGTATGTGGCTCCCCCCCCCTCCTCTGTATGTGGCTCCCCCCCCCCTCCTCTGTATGTGGCTCCCCCCCCCTCCTCTGTATGTGGCTCCCCCCCCCTCCTCTGTATGTGGCTCCCCCCCCCTCCTCTGTATGTGGCTCCCCCCCCCTTCCTCTGTATGTGGCTCCCCCCCCCCTCCTCTGTATGTGGCTCCCCCCCCCTCCTCTGTATGTGGCTTCACAAATGGGGGTTATCTATACAGTCACATGATGACACTTTCTCCGGAATCTCTGTATTCCTGTGATGACTTTTTGAACCCTTTTTTTAGCTGATGACTGTACCCCCCCCCCCCCCCACACACAGTCGGAGCATACAGAGCTGTACTTCTTTCTCATCGTTTTTTATTTTTTCAGGCTGAAGAGTTGAAGATGGCCACCCAACTGAAGGGCCCAGTCATGCCAATCCGCCAGGTGAGTTCTGTGGTGGGAAAAAAAATTTCTTGTGGTGGTGTGATTTTTTTTTTTATTTTTTTATTTACACACAGTGAAGGAAATGCGTATTTGCTCCCCGGCTGATGGGGAATGTTCGCCCCTCACAGGAATGATCGGTCTAACAATGGAATGTTCGCCCCTCACACAGAAAATGATCGGTCTAACAATGGAATGTTTGCCCCTCACACAGAAATGATCGGTCTAACAATGGAATGTTTGCCCCTCACACAGAAATGATCGGGTCTAACAATGGAATGTTCGCCCCTCACACAGAATATGATCGGTCTAACAATGGAATGTTCGCCCCTCACACAGAAATGATCGGTCTAACAATGGAATGTTTCGCCCCTCACACAATGATCGGTTCTAACAATGGAATGTTCCCCCCCTCACACAGAAATGATCGGTCTAACAATGGAATGTTCGCCCCTCACACAGAAATGATCGGTCTAACAATGGAATGTTCGCGGTGTAACACTGAGAGACAGAATACAACAACAAATTCAGCAGAAATGCGTCTAACAAATGATGACGGATCTGCATGTTCATGAGGGAAAGAAGGATTTGATCCCTATCATTCAGCAGGATTTCTGGGCTCCCAGGTGTCTCTCATACAGGTAACAAGCTGAGATTAGAAGCAGTCTCTTAAAGGGAGTGCTGCTAATCTCATTGTGTTACCTGTATAAAAGACACCTGTCCACAGGAGCCATCAAACCATCAGATTCCAAACTCTCCACCATGGCAAAGACTTGATTTGGATTTGATCCCCTATCATTCAGCAGGATTTCTGGCTCCCAGGTGTCCAGACAGATTTCAGGAGAGTTATTCCTAAAAATTACAGGTCTACAATAACAAAACATTTCCATGCAAAAAAATGTACCGCTTTGAGCACAGAAATACTGACATCAGACCGCTGGGGGGAGGTTAAGTTAACACACCCCGAAATCTGTTTGGGAAAATGCTGTACAGAATCGGATCGCATGGGTGTTCGCCGATCCGATTCTGGTGCGGACAAAAGGATCCTGCACCATTTTGATGCGGTGCGATTTGAACCATACAAAAAGTACGGCTCAAACTGCACCGCACATAAGTCGCATGTGATTTGCACAGGAATGCGCCGGGTTCTCGTACGAATCACATGCGATGTGACGCAGCGCAGAAGAGTGAACCCGGGCTAAGGAGGGAGAGTAACTCCCTGCAAATGCAGGTCTTGTGGGAGGCGGGCCGCCGTGGTCTAGAGCCTTATAAAAGGCGATTTGTAACCATTTGGATTAACGCAGAACACGGATTCGTATGAAAGGTAACGCAGTAGTAACATGCGAAGGGGGGAGGAGCCTCGAGTAGAGCCGGTTCCGGCTTGTTTATGGGGTCTCTTGCTGGGATGATACTCATTTCTTTTTTGTTTTTTTGCTTTTCAGACTTTCAAGAAAGAAAAGGCGAGAGTCATCTCCGAGGACGAGAAGAACTTCAAAGCCTTCGCCAGTCTGCGTATGGCACGCGCCAACGCACGGCTCTTCGGCATCCGAGCCAAGAGAGCCAAGGAAGCCGCAGAGCAGGAAGTGGAGAAGAAAAAGTAAAACTAATCCTGGAACTGTTAATAAACAAAAAGTTGTATAATTCGGCTCCCCGGGTGTTTCCTTACATGGGACGTCGGGGAGATATTGGCCATGGCGGGTACGCTGCGTGGGCGTGGCGCTCTGGTCCTTGGTTCCCGATAGCTGCGCATGCGCTGCTGCGTGTCGCGAGGAAAGGGCGATCTCTGAAATATTGTCTCCAAACGCCAAAACCATGTCTGAAAGGGCTCGCCATATCCGTTCTGAAGAAAATCCATTTCCTGGACAGGATGTATTAGAAATGTTTATTCCGTGGCCTGGAGTAGTGGTCTCCAAACTGTGGCCCTTTGCTTGGTTTTATCCGGCCCTTGGGGCACTAATCCATCCACTGACACCAACATTGGGATACAATTCCACCCAATATCACCGACCATGGGGCACTCTTCCTCCCAATGACGTCAACAATGTGGCACTTTCTCTTGCTGACACCTTCAGTGGGGCACAATTCCTTCCAAAATACAAAGGATAGGGCACACTTCCTTCCACTGCATTATTCATTCCACTGACACCTACAGTAGAGCACAATTCCTCTCACTGACACCAGTGCTGGGATACAATTCCTCTCACTGACACCAGTGCTGGGATACAATTCCTCTCACTGACACCAGTGCTGGGATACAATTCCTCTCACTGACACCAGTGCTGGGATACAATTCCTCTCACTGACACCAGTGCTGGGATACAATTCCTCTCACTGACACCAGTGCTGGGATACAATTCCTCTCACTGACACCAGTGCTGGGATACAATTCCTCTGGATGCCAACCATGGGGCACCATTCCAATTGACACCAATGTTGGGGCACTGTTCCTCCAACTGACACCGATGACAAGCCACTATTCCACCCAGTAAATGGGGCACAATTCCTCTCACTGACACCAGTGCTGGGATACTATTCTTTCCAATGACACCAACCATGGGGCACCATTCCAATTAACACCATTGTTGGGCACTGTTCCTCCCACTGACACCGATGACAAGCCACTATTCCACCCACTGATGCCAGTGATGGGGCACAATTCCTCTCACTGACACAAACGCTGGGGTACAATTCATTCAAATCATACCAACCATGTGGCACCATTCCAATGGGGCACTGTTCCTCCCACGGACACCGATGACTAGCCACTATTCCATCTGGTGATGGGGCACAATTCCTCTCACTGACACCAGTGCTGGGATACTATTCCTTCCAATGACACCAATGATGGGGCACAATTCCTCTCACTGACACCAGTGCTGGGATACTATTCCTTCCAATGATGGGGCACAATTCCTCTCACTGACACCAGTGCTGGGATACTATTCCTTCCAATGACACCAATGATGGGGCACAATTCCTCTCACTGGGCCACAATGACACCTCCACAATTCCTCCCACTGACACCAACAATGGGCCACAATTCCTCCCACTGACACCAACAGTGGGGCCCAATTCCTCCTGGCCCCATGATGAGAAACTATTCTTTCCACTGACACCAATGCTGAGAAACTTCTTTCCACTGACACCAACGATGGGGTACAGTTCCTTCCCTAGTTACAAAGATCAGGCGTTGTTTACAGTGAAGTCAGGACATTTTCTGCTGACTTCCTGCAGTCCAGCCCCCCCTAAAATCGGAAAAGCCGTTAACTGGCCCTTTGTTTCTGAAGTTTGGGGTCCCCTGGCCTAGAGGAAGGATTAGATGACGGGAACAAGACTTCTGCCTCCAGCATGGATGTACAACGCCTTGCCACTTGCTGACCGTCTAACTGGGAAAATACGGCAGGTTTTTGACGTTTAATGCCGAGTCATGCTGCAGCTGGATGTGTTCATTTTCCCCTCAGCCGCTGGTCTTCCAGGTAAGTGATCCAAGCGGCAGATTCCCCGCAGGATCACTGTTAGCGGTGGGAGGGGTCACTCCATGTTATCACTTAACCCCCCCGACCCCGGTGCTTCCTGGGTTTGGCTGAACGGCGGGCCTGGGAACCGATCCGGCGTTCCGGTTGCAGAAAAAAAAGTGGAACGGGCTGCATTTTTCCTGCACAGAACTGTACTGGAACGCACCAAAAAACACATTGGAACTCGTGTCCCTATTTAAATTGATGCGTTCCAGTTCATCTTTTCCCCTTTTTCATCAAATGCGCATGCAGAAACACATCTGGACTGCGGTTCTAGAGTGTGAACCAGCCCTTCAGTTGAAGAACAGGGAAAAAATGAACTGGAACGCACCAAAATCGCACATCCAGAACCCAACTGGACTGCGTTTTCTATAGTGTGAACCGACCCTAAAGCAATGCACTGGAACAGACAGGTGTGAATGGGCCCTAAGGGCTCACACTCCATGCGTTTCAGTTGCTTTTTTTTCCTGCATCCATAACGCACAACAATTAGGTGATATGGTTGTTAATGTCGTAGTTCACATTAAATTTCGGATGCAGAAAAAAAAACAGGTGGCATTTTTCCTGCACTGGAACGCACATGTCCCTATTCAAATTTCAGAAAAGGGAAAACATGAACTGGAATGCAAATACATGCAGAAACGCATCCGGACTGGTTTTCTATAGTGTGAACCAGGGCTGGACTGACCATTTGGAAACTCGGGCACTGCTCGAGGGCCCGGGGTCAGTAGGGGGCTCCAGGAGAAGCCCCTGGTATTTTTTTCATAGGCTTTTTTGAGTTTGGGCAAGGGCACGGGCCCCTTGATCCCCTATTGCCCAGGGGGCCCCATGAGTTGTCAGTCCGCCCCTGGTGTGAACTGACCCTAAAGCAATGCACTGGTACAGACAGGTGTGAATGGGCCCGAAGGGTCAGCTCACACTCTGTGTTTCAGTCGCTTTTTTTTCTGCATCCAAAACGCACCGAAAGGTTATATGGTTGTCAATGTCATAGTTCACATCAGTGCTTCAGTTCCAGTGCGTTCTAGTTGCAAAAAAAAAAAAAAAAAAATGGGCTGTATCTTTTATGCACAGAACTGTACTGGAACGTGGTAAAGTGCATCAAAAACGCACAAAAAAGGCGCTGGGACTCGCATGTCCCTATTTAAATTGAAGAAAAAGGGGAAAAGATGAATTGGAACTCATGAAAAATGTGCCAAAAAAACATCTGGACTGCGTTTCTATAGTGTGAACCGACCCTAAAATGCCCTGGAACAGACGGGTGAATGGGCCCTGAGGGCCGTCGTACTACATGCATTTCAGTGCTTTTTTTTTCTGCATCCAAAATGCACAGAGTAGGTTATATGGCCGTCAGTCGTAGTTCACATCAGCGCTTGCATTTCCGGATGTAGAAAGAAAAAAAAAAATAGAACAGGCTGCATTTTCCTGCACAGAACTGTACTGGAACGCGGTAAAACGCAGTGGAACGCACATGTCCCTATTTACGTTGAAGAGGGAAAAACCAGAAAGCATCAAAAATGCACATGTGGAAACGCATCTGGAATGCTGCTGGGGGGGGGGGGGGCTGTGATTTCTATAATGTGAACTGGCCCTTAAATTGAAGAAAAAAAGAAAAAGATGAACTGGAACGCATCAAAAATGCATCGGAATGCACTGCAACACACGTCCCTATTTAAATTGAAGAAAAAAAGATGAACTGGAACACAAAAAAAACTCACCGGAATGTGCCAAAAACATGCATGCTGCACCCGGAACGCATCTGGACTGCATTTCTATAGTGTGAACCGGCCCTTTTATTGAAGAAAAAGGGAAAAGATGAACTGGATCGCATCAAAAACGCACCGGGACTGCGTTTCTATAGTGTGAACTGGCCCCAAGGCAATGCCCTGAAACACACGGATGTGAATGAGCCCTAAAAGCACCGGGACTGAGGTTCAGCAGCAATCAGTCCCCCCCAGCAGGTGGCAGCATTTCTCTTTTCATGGAGGGCGCCGGCGTCTGACGGGACATATATTGAGGCCGTGCGACAATTTGCTCACACTCGGAATGCACATCCTGAATCTGTAACAGCTGTTTGCGTTTTAATTAACCCACTTTGGGCTTCATTGGGGACTCTTCCCTTCCGTCACTCCGCTATGACCGGCGATACAAAGAGAGCGACTCCTAATTCTGCTAATTAGCCATGCGATTTTTTTTTTTTTTTTTTTTTTTCTGGCTGGCAATGGCGGCACCCTCTGCTTCTCTGTCATCTCGGTCCCACAGCTTAGGCAGCTGGCTTCTGTATTCTGCATGCAATCATATCGCTGAGCTCCTGCCTGAAGTTAGAACTGTCTGGATTACACAATTGCCAATCAGATTCCATTTATTACGTTGAATCAGAATGTGATTGGCTGCCCACCTACTCAGTCTTTAAAGTGTCTGGAAATCCTCCATATCCCCAGTGAAGTGACTGGCCTCAGGTGATATGCAGAGATGAGACAAATCCTCCTACATAAGTTGTACCTGTTTATCTTCAGTATCCTTTACATCTGTTCAAAGTCTAGAATGTATAAAGTCTAGCTGGCAGTTCAGAAAAAAGGGGGCGGAGAGCTGAAATGACACACCGCAGATCTCAGTTAGGAGAGCTCTGAGAGCTGATTGGAGGGAAGAGACACCCCCCCCCCCCTCCACACAACACAAAGAAACAGAGCTTTGGCTGTCAATCTGGTCCCTCCCGTCACCATTTTTCTCTTGGTGTCAGGAAAACCTGACAGAAGTGATGCAGATAGCAGAGGCAGCAGACAAGAAATGACACTGTCATACTGGTGTGATTTGGGAATTGAAATGGCATCTTATGAAAGGGAATGTCAGTGTCTGAACGTGCGATTTGCAGCGCGATTTCTAAAGTAGTGACTTTTTCTGGAGTTCACATACATGGAATACAATAGAAATCACACTGCAAATTGCAAGAAATCGTTGAAAATCTTCCCAAGTAGCAATAAAGTCTTCAGAAGTCGCACGATTTTAAACTTGTGGAAGCATCGATTGGAGGGCCGTAGTTGCAATGATCTCTAGCAGTCTCTTGTAGTGGGGGGTGCATTACTGAAACC